CCCATTGCTTAGTAACTACATGCATTAGACAAGGCTTACAGCTGCAGTTCCATATCTGCAGAATGGGGTTACTAATGTCTGGAGGTGTGGCTCAATAGTACAGTGTATACTTTGTATGTGCGATCTAAGAGACTCTTGTGATGAGAAATGAGAAAGTATCTATAAAGCAAATAGTTTTTTATAAATATTAGTAAATATGTCAATATTTCTGCAAATAAAACCTTATTAAATGCATATACTGGATACTGAATTGCTGCTTTCTGATTTTTTTAAAAAAGCATATACAGCTTCAGAAGGCTGCAGGACCAAAGAGGTGGTGATTTCTGATGCCTTAGGCATCACATCGATCGCTTTCTTCATCAGTGCCGAGTGTCATAAGGCTCATTCTTGAGTGGGGCTTAAGGACTGTCCGTGAAGGTCCTCTCTCCACTCTCGATTCATTCACTGCCATCAATGCAGCTCCAATTTCTATTAAGTAAAAGGTTTTCTATAATCCATATACACTGAACCATGCCTTTGACTTTTGGAGGTTCTAGTAACATCAAAACATAAGAGTAGGGCTAAGTGAATTGTCAGGCAGCTTTTAAAATTATTGCTTGTAAAAGCAAGAAGAAAGAGATTTGCCTTGGTTTAGGGCCAGGCTTTGACTAATGTTTTTTGAACTACAATCCCCAGAATGCCATCTACTGTACAGCCATGAAAGCCTACTTGAATTTCGTGTTGAGAGCTTGAGATCAATTTATTTGTATCACTACTCATAACTACTCAGATCTGAGCAATAATACACCTAGGAAAAGCTCCTAAGACTAATGTGAGGCAGAGAAAGGACCAATACAAAACCACACTTGAATCACATTTTGAGGCACTCATTGTGTGGCCCAATGCTTCACTTCTGTTTTCCTTTATAGGGTGGAACTGGTCCTCCGGTGTCTAGTGAATGAAGCGCCACACTAGCAATTACCAGAGTTATAACCCTGCCCTGTGGTTTATAGTCTATCATTAAACACTTCAAAAGCAGGTCAAACTTAGGAAAATAGCCTTATTTAAGGACCTTGGAATCAGAAGACTAAGAGTCTAACCATAATTTTGATTTTTGTAAGCATTATTCTTTATTTTGAAACATATTAAGTAGAGTTGAAATTGTCCTTTGGTAAAGAACAAGGTTAAAATCAGGTCCCTCAGCACTGTACAAAAGGAGGGAAAAGTCAACAACTGGGTAAATGAGGTCATTTAATGGATTTTTGCCTCAGCTTCTTAATTTTAAAAGTACAGACAAAGATACTTCAGACAAGGCAAGAGGGTTTTCCTTTCTGATGCTGTCATTTCTGTACCTAAAACCCCTACTCTTTACTACCCAGGAGATTACCTCTTAGGTTAGGGCCAAGACAGAAACGAGCTTCAGAGCATGAGTCAGATTATCTGAGCTTTCTGCTCCAGCACTCACTAGCTAATACAACCTCGCGAAATCTCCTTTGCAACCTTCAGGATGGGACCATCACAGAATCAACCTGCCAGAGCTGCTACACTATTACATGAGAAAACACACGTGAAGTATTGGGTCCAGCAGAGATGGGCTCGCGACAGGCATTCTATAAATGCCAGCTACTATGACTGCCCTTAATCTGTGGCTTTTATTGTTCCTTCAGTCTCCGTCTCTAATCTGTCACCAAGCTCCAGCAACTCTTCATATGTATTTTCAGAGAAAACACTGTTTAAAAAACAAACAAACAAGCAGGGTGCTAGTGGCTCATGCTTGTAATCCTAGCTACTTGGGAGGCTGAGATCGGGTGGATCTTGACTTGAGACCAGCTCAGGTAAGTAGTTTGTGAGACCCCCACTTCCAAAATAATCAAAGCAAAAATGGACTGGACTTGTGGCTCAAGCGGTAGAACGAAGCCCTGAGTTCAAACCCTGATCCCACGAAAGCATACAAACAACAACAACAACAATGACAAAAACCTCCAAAACCCAACTGAGGACATCCCAATGTCTCCCCAGGGGTGACTGAATAATCGTATCATGGTACCTGTACATACTGGAACACTACATAGCATGAGGCAGATCCACAGCTACAAATACGGAAAAAGGTGGTATTTTGTTAAATGAAATTAACTGGTTGCCAAAGAGTATGTATAAACTGATCTCCATTGGCTAAAAACATACTCATGCCTGGAAGTGGGGTGGGGGAGGAGGGAGGTGGCCCAAATAATGTACATACATGTAAGTAAATGTAAAAATGTAAAAAAAAATACTTATAAGTCATCAGGGAAAAGTAACTGAAATCTATAAAGGATTTTATAACCTGACAGAGGGGCAAATGTTAAAAAGCCTGAGTAATTGTGAGGACTGAGAGCTCTCAGGCATTTTGAGCGTAGCTGAAGAGGCTCACTGTTCTGCTGACTAGCAATTACACTTCAGAATGTGCACACCATGAAGAAGCTCTGTGCCCAGGAGGCCCAGGAAGATGTACCCAGAACACTGTGGGGCACGAGCACTGGAAACAGCCTAAAGATTCGTCAGCAGGAAACGGATAAACTTATACGGAAGTTGAAAATGCATGAACACATATTTTAATTTAAAAACATAAAAGTTAGTGAATGTGAGGCCCTGGATTCAATCCCCAGGACTGCAAAAAAAAAGAAAGAGAGAGAGAGAAAATACATAGCTACATAATGTTGGCTGAACCAAACAGATAGGCACACACTACTAATTATAGATTACCTGTGAGAGAAATGGATAAAGGTTGGTGAGAAGAACATACCCACATAATTGTACTTTGGGTTTGGGTTACTTCTGAGGAGAAAGACAATGGGAGTAAGTATGAGAAAAGGTACAAGGAAACTACAAGTGTAATATTTGATGACCTAAAAAAAATCTGAGCCAGGTGTGGTGAGGCATGCCCAGGACTCAGGAGGTAGAGGCTAGAAGGTCAGAGTTCAAGGCTAGCCTGACCTACATAATGAGACCTTGTCTAAGACAAGCAAAATTCTGAAACAAATATGCCAATAAGTGTTTATCATTCCCTCCACAGTCTCCCTCCCCCCACATCTTGTACTTTTCTGTTAGGCTAAAAATCTTTTCTTTTTTTGAGGCAAGGTCTTACAATGTAGCCCAGGCTGGCCTTGAGCTCAAAATCCTCCTGCCTTAGCCTCCTGTGTGCCGAATTTCTGCTGTATGCCACCATGCCCAGCTCTAGAGCTTTTTTCATAATTAACAAAAGTCACATAAATAACAAAACAGCAAACATCCCCTCCAATCACTATGATGAATTATTTTGTCTCTCTTAGCCTCATTTTCCCCATCTGTGAAATGGAGACGGCAGCACCCTCTCTGCCTGCAGGATTACAGGGAAGAACTGAGTTAAACAAGGAGACTTTTGAAAATTCTTATCGTCCTTATCCTTGTCTTAATCATTACGATCCAGAAGTTCTAATTCGAACTACATCAGATTGCAGAATAACTTCCTTAAACATTGCTTCATCTCACGGCCCTCCCCAAGAACATGTGTTCATTCTCTCCTCCTGGCTGATCCAACCACGTCCAATCAGGGGTGTCTGTCTCGCTGAAGCTACCCGTGAACTTCTCCAACCGCACCTCCTCATTGACAGTACATATCACTTTTATTGTATTTTGAGAGCCCTTAAGAAGCATATGCGTTTCATTTAACTTTATATCCCAGTGCCAGGAAGGAAAGGAAGACAAAAGGAAGGAGAAGACTTAGGACTTGGCAGTCCTCGCTGTGACTGTATGCTAGGACAAGTCTTTGAGTTCTTGGGGCAGGAGGATTATATTCAATGACCTGTAGATTGGTTTTCCAGGACTAGCTGCATATTCTCAAGGCCTCTATAATCAGCTCCCTACTCAGTCAATTTTCCTTTCACTCAAAACAAATTCTCTGCCATCCAGCTGGACACCCCACTGTGCCACAAACATGGCACTCTAATTCTGTTCTAGTATCCAGATCATACTTTGGCTTCAAAACCCTGCCCAAGTTCTAGACCTTTCTGTAAATTTTCTTTAATATCATTCACCCCTAATTTATGCAAAAATCTAATATAATGTAATTTATAAAGAGTCATTTACTTTCAAAACATTACATATATATTAAATGTTAGCCTCATGATAGCTGTAAGGTAACTATTATTATTACCCCACCTTTCTGAGGGGTGGTACCGGAGTTTGAACTCTGGGTCTCATGCTTGCTAAGCAGGCGCTCACCACACAAGCCACTCCATCAGCCCTATTATCCCATTTTTAATGATATGGGAATGGAGGCACGAAGGCATTAAGTGGTCTTGGCCAAGGTCATACAGCTAGTAAGTGGCAGAACCAGTATTTGAACCCATGTGGTTTGCATCATTTTCTTTGCACTTCTCCACTAAGCCAGCAGCTTTTAACTTTGCACGCCATCATATTTAGTACTCCATTAAAATAGTTCCTTACATTTTTCGTAGCTCATAGCATACACTTAAGTCCCATAAACACTGGTTAGATTAAATGTGTGTATGATTATAGCATATCTGAAGCGGGTGGAATTCCACCCCCAATTATTTGTGTCTTACTGACTTTCATAGCAATCTTGTGAGACAGGCAGTTTAGATTGTCTTACAGATGGGAACAAGTGAGTGTCAAAGAGTTAAGTAACTTATTTCAAATTCTACATGAAGCAGCAGTGCTTGGACCAAATTAAGACCACGGGACTTCAAGCTATGTACTTTTCTCTACCAGACTTTCTGGGACTTCTGCACTGTGAGGTCCTAACAGTGGAGACATTTGGAATATGGATAGGAAGTAAGGAATATAAGAAATATTCTTATTAATAATTATTACATTTTTTAATTAAAAAAAAAATAAATGAATGCAGCCAAAAAGCAAAGAACCACACCATCTTTAGTTGCTCGGAGACCTGTTTCACACACATTACAAGGGGTTCACTAAGACAGTGCCTCTGTACTGTCTTGGCATTCAGTGTTACCAACTCACACAAGCCTGTTCCTTACCTGTGATTTACACCACTGTCCAGGGCATGAGAGTCTTTCTCTCTGGCCCTCTGAGCTGCTTTTCTACTTGCTTCCTCTTCTGTCTCACTCAGGCTTTCCTGTCCGGGACTGTCTTCCTCTAAGCTGTCAGGCTCCATATCTTTGTCTTGGACTCGGTCTTCAATTCCAGATAGGGACTTAATTTCTTGAGTGAGACTTTCTGAATCTGATTCTAAAGAGTCTTTTGAAATCAGAGTTAAATCTTCTTTCTTAAAAGGTGAGTTTGAAGACTGGATATTTAAGTTGGCGTGTAGAACAGGAGATTGAATGGAGAGCTTGGGAATTAGTCTATTATTACTCATCTTGAAAAATACAAAAATTAGCAGGAAAGACTCTTGTTAAAGGAAGCAGTTGGCTGATATTGAAAGTTGTGGCTTGCAAAAAACATTACCTAAAAAAAATTGTATTTCCGTTACTCTGTGACTACTGAAATGTTAATGTCAATGTTTTTCAAAATTTCAAAGAATTAGAGAACCCTGTTATATTATCTGCAGGTTTTTGAATGCACCCTTCTGTTGGTATGAGCAAGGCCTATTGCTTATTTTTCTCTCTACAGAAACACATCTGATTTAGAGCTCATAAACAGCCTGAGTTATCGGGTGCACTTTTATTGGGGAAATCAAATATCAGGGCTTACTACAGACAAGTTGGGACAAAACCAGATGGTTAATTATGGATAGTACTTTGATGGCCTTATTTCAAATGTCCAGAGAAATTTAGATATACATATATCATGTTCAGCAGGAGTCATCACTGAGTAAAACATGCTCAAAGTCTACCTTTTGGAAAGTGGAGGAAGGAGTGGGAGAGAGAAGAGCGTGGTTTTCACACCTGGAGTTGCAAACAAGGAACTTGTTTTGTCCTTAGATCTAGTTTGGCCAACTACGGCATTGGAAAAAAACTTTTTGATACCAAGAGACGCTAATAGAAAGGAACACATAATTTGGTGGACATTAAAATGGAGATGAAGCTCTGCTAAGTATTAAAGAACAACAGAATAACAATGATTACAACTGCTCAACCACAGAGTTGGTGGTCTTGTGACTCCTGCCCCTGAGCGACTCAAAGTCGAGCTTGGATGGAATGTGGTCCTGGGGAAAGCTGGGTGGGAGACTGGCCTGAATCAAAGGTAAGAGTTAGCTAGAGTCCCTTCCAACTGATTTAAGGACGTGACTCCAAGGAAATACTCACTGTCTCAAAGGGCTATTGCAGTGACTCATGAGATGGTTTATGGAAAGGGTGCTCTGAGTTCACATTGGACTGAAAGAGATGATATTTTTGGATTGTGCTTCCTTTCATCTCTAGCTAGCAGTTCTATTTTGGTTTATCTTCTTTCTTATTGCCTTTATGACAATTTCTTCCCCTGTCAGATAACAGAAATCTTTACCATTAGAGATTATTGCAAATTTTGATGCTCTTGACTTGCTCATGTTCTTTTGACAAATCTTAATTTTAATTAAATAATTTCTTATTCCTTTTCCTAAAATAGCTTATGTTGACCTTGTTGCTAAGGTCTCCAAGGAACATTGTCAACTCCTTAGGGGAACACTGTTAACAAACAAAGGTAACATTCATAATACACACAAGGTGGTTTTCTGTTTAACTCAAACTTCTCCCTGTTGGTAGATTAACATATCAAGGCCTAATTTTCCTGGCTGGTGGGTATTATAAGTCTTATTTTAAAAATACATATTGCATTCTGTCCTATTATTTTAAAACTGATAAGTAGATGACTTGCTTTTTAGGGTATTTTTAGGAAAAAGCAAATAATAACACATTTTAGCTAAAAGTTTGCATCAGCACCAGTTTTATGTAAAAATTATGGTTACTGTATTTGAGATCTTGATGAATCAGCTTAAAATAATCGGTTTGGGGCTGGGAGTGGAGCTTAGTGGTAGAGCAAGCATGAGGCCCTGGGTTCAATTCCAAGCACCAGAAAAGGGGGGAAAATCATCATTCAATTTAGAATTGTTCTTTCATAAAATATCTCAGTTCCTCCTTTAAGATTGTTTCTTCTTTAAGATTGTATTTTATTTTTTAATTACCATACATTAATATGTCTTCATTTCATAAATGACAGACTAAGGTTTCTTGGGGCAGGTAATAATACAATAATGACCATAGAAGACAATGATTTTGTTGTTGTTGTTAACATATTAATGAAATTTGGGAAGAGTATGAAAAGAGCAAAACCAAATATCACAAGAGCTGGGTTTTCTGTGGAGGCCCGATCTTATAAAAGCAAAGGCTTGCAGAGGGAAAAGCTGACAGCGTGAATATATTAGAAAAGGGTCGTTTTCAATTTAATGAGTGTGGCTTCCTAGTACCGTGCAGTGAAAAATGGTTTGCGCCACTGTAATTTCTGACCGAGAAACTGACCAATCAACTTCTAAGTAAACCAGAAAGAAAGGTCACATCCCATGGTATCTAGGGACTGAAAAACTTAGCCAGCTCCCCAGGCATCCCTTCAAGACTTGGGATCTAACTCGTCTGGCCTTGGGACAGATGAAACTCCTTCCTTCGGTAGGTGACAAGGATCCCTGCTTGCGCTCACCAAGATGAATGGCAAAGAAAACCTGGCCCTGTTTGGAGCAGGCTGGAAGGTGCCCACTAGGGACCTTCGGTTTTTCTCCCTTTGCCTGTGTCTGAGGGACAAAACCGCCACAGAGGGAGTTTGAAGGTCCACAAAGTACCTTTAAGCGAGTCTGGTGCTCTGGGCGGTCTCGATTGACCAGGCCCAGGGCTGCTCTGGGAACCCCTAGGGATCGCGGCCCCCCGCCCGGCCTCTCCTGGTCCTCCCGCCCGGGTCAAAGGTTTTGTCGCACCGGCTCTGAAGCTCTAGGGTCCCGAACCAAGTTGCTCCAGCGGTGCCTGGTCCTTATCGCGATCCAGCCCGTCCCTTTCCTCCCCTCGGGCAGTCCATCACCTGCCGGGCGCTCCTGGCCGCGACCCCGGCCCCCATCCTCCGCGCCGCAGCCGCCGCCCGGCTCCCGCGCGCTGCCGCCCCGCCCGCCCCGCGCGCCCCGCCCGCCCGCGCGCTGCCTGGAGACCGCGGCCAACACAGCCGCCACCCGGCCTCGGCCCGCGCCACCGCCGCGGTCACAGCCGCCACCCGGCCCCGGCTGGCGCGGGGAGGATGCGGGGTCTGAGAACCACCGCGACAAGGGCGCAGGGCGCTCCAGGAGGCTGCCGGCCGCCGTCCTGACCTCCAAAACTGGAAGGCCAAGGAAAGAAAGGCGGGCGCCCAGGGAGGCGGGCGATCCAAGTGGCCCACATGTATGGATTGCTGATTGGAAAGGTGCTTGGTTTATTAAGATCCAGAAAGAAGATCGAAACCACACTAGATACCATGCTCACTAGACAGGCATCAAGTTTACCAAGTTAGTGGGTTAAGCCGGAGAGAGGGCAAAGAGCCCCCCCCCACGGCAGGTGGGAGGGAGAAGTGGCCCAACCACTTCGGAGGTGGTTCAGCATTGTCTGGGATAGGGGAGCCTTAGAGAACAGAAATTTCACTTTGTAGGGATTTAACCCAAAAGAAGTGTGTGTTTCTAAGCATCCAAACTGGAAAGAAATAGAATAAAAATAGAAGTGTCCCACACCCTCCAGTACTGGGGTTTGAACTCTGGGCTCTTGCTTGCTAAGTAGGCACTCTGCCATTTCAGCCACACCTCCAGCTCTAGGGTGGCTCATCAAATCGTATTTCCTATGCTAGCACACCACTGAGCAGTCCTATGAAACAACATGGATGTCTGTCTTAAAACCAGAATATTGAACAATAATAAAAAATCCAGAAAAAAAATACAGTGCTGTATGATTTTGTATATAAAAAAGGCAGGCTAAATCAATCAAGGTGTAAGGCTAACCCAGACAAACAGCTCAGGAATAACCAGAGCAGAAATGACTGGAGGTGTGACTGAAGCAGTAGAGTACCTGTCTGCCTAGCAAGCACAAGGCCCTGAGTTCCAACCCCAGTATAAAAAAAAAAAAAAGAAGAAGAAGAAGAAGAAGAATTTACTCCCCACAGCAGCTTCCAGAATATGTGACCCCATGGACTCAACTCAAAGGATGCATCAGGAGACTGAAACCATGCCAGTTATTTCAATGGGAATAATTCAACATGAAGATGTATTATGAAAAGGTGAAAAGGAAACACAAGTGTTACTGTGTAGTACCTATGGGAAGCAGCTCCTGCCTTGCTGGCTGGGAGACACAGAGACCAGCCTGGAATTCTTCACACTTAGGAGCTTGGAGCAGGGGCCCTCACAGCTGGGGTCCAGGCATCTGTGGTGGAAGACATCCCAGGCTGGTGGGTGCTGGTGTCTTTGTGAAGGTCTAGTGGAGCTGGTTCTGGGAGTATTAGGACAATTGGAATCAATTGTTGTTATGGAAACAGGCTTCACTTTTGGGATGAAGAAACATCGTCAAGGGGATCCTGGGAGGAATGAGAAGCAAAGCAAGAAGTAATCCAGTTTCCTTCTCCAGCCATGTGGTCTCCTTCTACTGCCTCCTACTGGCAGAGTCCCTAAGGGACTGCTGGCAGAGGAGAAATGTTTGCAGGCGTTGCCTCACCTCTACAAGCAGTGTGTGAGTGTGTTTGAAGCATTGGGACAAAGGTTTAATAAGCAATGCTGTAATGCTCTGTTCTTCGCAATTCTTGAGTGTTGTAGAGTACACACAAAGTAAAGCTAAAGTGCCTTCTTTCCAGTTGAAGTCGTGGTAATAATGGACAATTTACATATGAATAGTCCACCTAGGATTTGCAGAGTACTTTTGCATATATTACCTGTTCAGAATTCAGCTGTCAACCTGGCTCAAAATACAAAGATGAGGAAAAACAAGTGGAAAAAAAACCCCATTAAAATATACAGGCTAGCCATACCACACTGATTTACTTTCCCGCTGCAGTCCAACCATCCCTTCATCTCCCTGCTCTGTGTTCTCTCTTCTGTGCCAGTACGTAGACCCTGGTAGCTGAGTCCTTCCCTCCACCCCAGAGCCCTCTTTGATGTGACTCCTACTCAGTCTCTAGACCTTGCTGGGCATCATTTCCAGGAAAGTTTTTGGAAAGCCTCCCTGCACTGTAGTTCTCAACCCAAGGCAGGTTTGTCCTCCAGAGGACCTTGGAAAAAGTCTGGAGACATTCCCTATTGTCATGACTTGGGGGATTCTGGCATCCAGTAGGTAGAGACCAGGGATTCTGCTGAACACCTGCAGTCATAGGACAGCGCTACAACATGGCAGAAACACTGAGGTTGATAACCCCATGCTAGGCTAATGGCCCTTTGTCTGTGGTCCTGTGACACTCAAGTGCATGCATCTAGCTTTATAAACGAGCTTGTACTGCATTGCACTGAAATCATCTGTAAGTTTTTAATCATATGCTTCCTATGTGACAAGCTCCCAGAAAACAAGGACTACCATTGTGTAAAGCACCTAATAGATGCCAATAAATGGGTAAAAAAAGCCACACTATCCTCATAGGTTAGCCTTTGAATGGTGAGAGCTAAGTGTACCCCAGCAGGCCCTGTAGTGGAACTGGTAAGAGTGGCCCATCATATCCTTTAATAGAGAGATTGATACTGGGTATGATGACTCACACCTGTAATCCCCAGCTACTCAAGAAGTGGAGCTAGGAGGATCCCTGCTCTAGAGTGGCCTGAGGAAAAGTGGGGAGACCATATCTGGAAAACAAACTGAAAGCAAAGGGACTGGGGAGTGACTCAAGTGTAGAGTGCACAAGGCCCTGAGTTTAACAACAAGGGGATTGGACTTTGAGCACATGATAAAAGCGAGAGCACACAAGGGAGGGGTGAGGATAGGTAAGACACCTAAAAAACTAGCTAGCATTTGTTGCCCTTAATGCAGAGAAACTAAAGCAGATATCTTAAAGCAACTGAGGCCAATAGGAAAAGGGGACCAGGAACTAGAGAAAAGGTGAGATCAAAAAGAATTAACCTAGAAGGTAACACCCATGCACAGGAAATCAATGTGAGTCAATGCCCTGTATAGCTATCCTTATCTCAACCAGCAAAACCCCTTGTTCCTTCCTATTATTGCTTATACTCTCTCTACAACAAAATTAGAGATAAGGGCAAAATAGTTTCTGCTGGGTATTGAGGGGGGGGAGCGGGAGGGGGTAGAGTGGGTGGTAAGGGAGGGGGTGGGGGCAGGGGGGATAAATGAACCAAGCTTTGTATGCACATATGAATAATAAAAGAAAAAAAAAAAAACAGGAAAAAAAAAAAAAAAAAAAAACAAGGCCCTGAGTTTAATTCCCAGTGTTATCATTTAAAAAAAAGCGAGGTCAGGCACCAGTGGTTCACACCTGCAATCTTAGCTACTCAAGATCCTCCTTGAGACGGAGAGGATCTTTGTGTGAGGCCAGCTCTGGCAAATAGTTCACAAGATCCCATATTCAAAATGATGAGAGCAAAATGGACTGAAGGTGTGACTCAAGAGGTAGAGTGCTAATTTTGCAAGCAGGAAGTCCTGAGTTCAAACCCCAGTCTCACCAAAAAAAAAAAAAAAGGATAAAAAGAAAAAGAAGATGTTCACTTATCTGGCACACACTATTATTAAAGTTCATAGCACATTCATGACTTTTTGAAGGAATGCTATTAATTATACCAAGAAAATAAGTATAAGCTGGAAACATTCTAGGTAGCCAATAAGAGTGCTCCTTCTATGTTTAACTCTTCAGGTTTAGTTGTCTGCTTCTTTCGCACGAATGTCAAGTTGCAGACAATTAGAAATGTGGCAGGGAAGGGCAGTCTGAGAGCAGGGAGGAGGCGCAGAACAGCAAGTGAAGGAACAAAACATCACAAAGAAAAGAGAGACTCAGACAAAGCAACCCAGAATCATTTGGTGAGGGTAACAAGCAACCCTATACCTGCATGTCCTGTGTGACAATAATGGAATTGTAGTAACACACAAAGACTTGTTTTCATATGATTAATTTTAAAAACAAATAAGGCAACCTAGTTTAATAGCTACTGACTAGAAAGGTAAAAATCAGTAATGTGTTTTTGGTTTTGCAGTACTGGGGTTTGAACTCAGGGCCTTGCACTTGCTAGGCAGGTGCTGTACCACTTGGGCCACTTCCACAGCATCTGTAATGTATTTTATAAAGATTTTCATCCACAGCCAGGCACTGGTGGCTCACTCCTGTAATCCTAGCTACTTGGGATGCTGATGTCAGGAGGGTTGTAGTTCAAGACCAATTCTAGAGACCCTATCTCAATCAATAGCAAGACACAGTGGTACACCCCTGCCATTCCAAGCTATACAGGAGGCTGAGAAAAGGAGGACATTGGTTCTAAACCAGCCCAGGCAGACCCTTGTCTCAATGGAAAAAAGCTGGGCATGGCGGTGCATACCTGTCATCCCTAAGAGGATCGTGGTCCAGGCCCAATAGGCAAAAAGGGAGACCCTATCTCCAAAATAACAGAGCAAAATGGGCTGGAGGTATGGCTGAAGCAGTAGACAGCTTGTCTCACAAAGACGAAGCCCTGAGTTCAAACCCCTGTACAGTTAAAAAAAAAAAAACCTCCAGATTGAAAGGATACAATAAATGTTTATTACAACAAATGGAGAAAGTGCCACTAAGTTACATCTTTGTAAGTGTTCAGAACACTTGGATTAAAGATGCTCAACCAAAATACTAAAATATTAAAAATCTAAAGAGACAGTACCCTGATAGATGACTCCAGTCTTGAGAATTTTAAAGGATCAAAATTGTAATAAATATATGTTGACACAGACATGCAACTCAATAGGCAGACATACAAGTAACTGACACCCTTCAGAAGAATGAGCCATGTGCTGGGGGACCCGGGGATGGGGTGAGGGGAGGGAAGTGGCTCCTGGCTGGCATCACATGGCTTCAGGAACAAAGAGCTGGAAGGGTGACAATTATGAACACAAGTTACCAAATTATCACTGACAGCCTTTTAAAGTTTTTTTTTTGTTTCCTTCC